TATTTTACTCTATTCTGTTCTATTCTGTTCTATTCTATTTTACTCTATTCTGTTCTATTCTATTTTACTCTATTCTGTTCTATTCTATTTTACTCTATTCTGTTCTATTCTATTCTGTTCTATTCTATTCTGCTTTATTCTATTCTGCTTTATTCTATTCTGCTTTATTCTGCTTTATTCTATTCTGTTATATTCTATTATTTTCTATTCTATTCTGCTTTATAACATTCTATTCTATTCTATTCTATTCTATTCTATTCTATTCTATTCTTTTCTGTTCTATAAAAGCTCGTTTATGGCTCACTGAAAGAAAATGAAACATGCACTTCATAATAGAACCGTGCAAAGTGTGAAGCACAGTAATTGCACCCAGTGTTTGCATGCATTAGTATTAAAGAGGCTTATATATATCCAGCTGATAAGTGTGCTGGAAGGGATGCAGAGCGGCTCTCCGCTCTGCTGCAAACTTTACCCACAGAATAAAACTACACGTGAACAGTGAGTCAAACAGAGCGAAATGAATCGTTACCTTTTACATCAGTGTTGGTTTCGCTGCGACTGCTTCATATGAAGGTAAAAAGTTGAGAAATGGAGCCTTTACTGAACTCCTCTGCAGTGGGAATCCCTCTCAGACTGTCTGCACGGCGCGTCACATTAAAGCCACAGTTGGTTGCAGAAAAAAAAAAGAATAAAAAAAAAAGGTGGAGAAAATGCACTAAACACTACCCCCCCTCCCCTTTTAATAGAGGTCCATGCCAGCGGGACGTTTAGAAAAAGAAGCCGCGAGACAGACACCTCCCACTGCGCAGAGATGCCAAGTTCCCTCAGCGATGTAGCGGCGGCTCTGGTGCTACTTCACTGTCTGTCTGTTTTTGGTAAGGGAGGGGGGGTAGTCTGCGTTCCGGTCCAAAATATAAACAGCGTCCCTTAAAGAGGCTTTAAACCCCACCCTGCGTGGAAGTCCGGTCCGCCGTGTGATGCAGTAAACCCGCCGTGACAGATATGCCGTCTGCAGCTACTCCTCGGGCTGCTCTGAGCTCCTCTCTGGCGATGACTCGTCAAGGCAATGGCTGGACTCCCCACAGCAACAGCGACGAGTCAAGTTCCGCTCGTGCGCCGGGAGTAAAGCGGAAGCTCATCTGCCTTTCAAAATAAAACAGCAGACTCAACGGCGTAACGACACAACAGGCCCCTAGACTGACAATCTTCATCAGCAAACAGCCCCCTAAGCAACATTATCTGGGTGGGCCCCATATGAAGTACAACACCCCATCGTCGCTAACACGGTTCACGCTCTGGATTACCCATAATTCCAAGTCGTAGTGTAAAAAACTACTCAAATACATCGTTCTTTTAACATCTTTATTGCGCTGTGCAACATATTAAATGAGTGTATCTTTTACCAACGTCTAATGAACTGAACACAGTTATTAACATAGTAATTAAAAGAACCACTGTCTGCTTTGCTGTTGGTGTTGTGTTTAAACGGCTCACCATCATGTTGAAATCTGGCATTTGGTATAGATACGGTCCGGTCAGTAGTTTTTCAAGGTCAGGTGGGTTTTAAAAGGAACTTTAGGCACCATTACGTCTGCTTACCGATATTTACGCCATTGAGCGGCCTTCAGAACAACCCGCCGCACAGACGAAGGAGAGATAACCGCAGTTATTGACCTATGTGACAGGGGCGGAGCTAGATGGGGGGCCAGCGGTGGCTCCTTAGCCAATTATAAGCCACCCCTGTGGCCACCTGTTCCATTTTCCCCTCTAATACAGATGGTGGCAGCAGTAATACTCTCAAGTGGAATATTAAAAACATTTATATTTTTTGTGGTGAATTACACATGTCAATATACTAACATCAAAGATGACAAATAAAGAATTCATGCCCTTTTCAGAACTAGATTTTGTGTTATATTGGGTAAAGAGAAAATGTGTCTCTGCAAGTCACTGGAAGTGTTCAGTGAAATCATAGATAAATAACAGTTAAAAAAAAAACAACTAATAAAATAATCAATTTATGAATTAGTGCTGATAAATATCAGTTTTATGCAGAATGTTTATTGATACTAGTAGGTAAGTAATGACGATGGAAAAGATTCACGCCCCAGATCTCAATACTGGAAGAATTATATCCACTATATCTTTTATTTAGAAATCACATATGTTTAAATATATGCGTCTATCTGTTAGCAAAGGCTGTAGGAAAGTATAGTTAGTCTAGATATTTAATTTCAATTCTGTTAAAATATGTTTTTACTGTTTGTAAAGTCACAATAACAAACTTTCAGATATTCGCTATATGTTATATGACACACCTGTCTTTTCTCTTTCACATATTAGCCAGATCACACGAATTTTAGATTAATAAAATCAGATAATATGGCCGTAAAAAGTTATATTGGGATGCTTAGTATGAGGGGGGGTCCTGCAAGATCAAAGGTCTCTGTCCGCTAGGAGTCAATGGCAAAGTTAGTCACTTCATGCAATTATTTGGTTTTCACTAAAGAAGAAAATATTTGATTAAATAAACTGAAGTTATTATTTGATTACCAGATTCAGCAGGATTTTTATGTAATCGGATTTAGAAATGTGTTTTTATTGACTGAAATGCCATTTTTTGTAAAGTAACCTGAAAAAACACTTAAATTTTATTGGCATTACATAAATAAATTGAACAGAGATAAAGAAAACATACATATAATGTACGGCTTTTAAAAGAAATACAAAATCATGTTTTTACCACTGCTATAAAAACTACAAAAAAAAAAATAATAATAATTTTAATTCCCCCTGGGTGTGTCATTTGTACAGGAGACAATTGCTAGGATTAAATTTTGAAAGACCAAAGCGGAAGTAAGGTTGTCATATCTAACTTTATTACTTTGTATTATCCAACTAAGACTCAAAAAATGCCCTTTAATTGTATCAGACTCCAGCTTTCATTTTATCCTGTCATTATAATTCCTCCTCCTGCTATTATTTGTTGAATTTCTTTTTCCCCTTTTAGTTTTCTTTTTTTTTTTTTTACAGATATCCAAAGTAGAAAGCAGTATTTGCATTTCAAAGGAGTCCTAATATTTAAATACTTCTAATCAAATACCAAATCAAACATTCTGCGGTTGCCAAGACACAGACAACTAAGAATTTGCACAGACACTTTTAATTAAATTATCCTATTATAAAACCTGTTTTATATAATGTGGAAATTATTAAGTGATTGCTCAAAAATAGTTCTATCTAAGGTTAGATTTCTTTCTATCAACACATAAAAAAAAACAGTTTTGTTGTCATATATAGACAGATACTTTTTGCTATTTCTTTAACAAAATGTTTTATTTTAAGAAGCACCTTTTTATTTGCTTCTCAAATACCACAAAAACCAATAAATGCTCCTTCTGATAAAATATGTCACCTTTTTTAACCTCATTCCTAAACATTACCTAACTGTTATTTTATTTCTCAAAGGAAATAGATTATTTCCATATTTTGATCCAGCACAGGTTGAGTAATCAGAGGCCTAAACTGGGCTTTAACACTGTTGTTCATATAACCTCTGGTCTAATATTCCAGCAATTCAGGAATGAGTCAGAGAGTTTGAGTGCACAGCTAACCATTCAGTTAGTTCTTGCTTCCAGACCTGAAAAACGAGAGTGACGTGCACAATTTGTATACGATAGCAGCTTGGTGTTCCTTTCCCTCCTCTGGGCTCACACATGCTGTACATTCTGCACCTTTCTTAGGGCGCTGAAGCTATAGTGCATGGGATTGCGCAATAGCAGCAAAGCATGTTCAGACTGAAACAAATTGAGATTTATATAAATCAAAGATCTACTTGCGATATTCAATTTAACGTAAAATGCTTTACCTTCTTACAGAACAAGATTCTGTTGTAGTCTTATTTGTGGTTTGCTTAACAAAATGCAAGCAAATCTGTGTGAGTGAGTTTAAAATCTTCTGACCTTAGAGCCTGGCAGACATCTCTACCTGTTTTGCTTAGATGAGCAATGAAAACTGCAACAATCAAACTTGTTTTAAAGCACCCAGATCCATCAGTAAAATGCAATTTTAGGTGATACAATAAATGCAATCTAGCAACATGGCTGCACAGTTCTAATAAAAAAAAAAAAAACTTTTTCATTGCCTTGCAGTCAGATCGTTAGCCACCTGTCAGCACTGGTGAAAGGTTTAAATAACTTCCATAGAGCAATGCATTAAATGGGTTCAGGAGATTTTTAATTAATCAGATATCTAATCTAGGCGAGTCTAACATTTTTGTCATGTTGACCAAAAACAGTCAGCTTGAGAGAACTTAATGACTAAAAAAATCTGCTCCAAAATCTAAGAGTACATTTTTTAAATATTATTATTTAATGGTTTTTGTTGTTTTCGTTTCTTACCTACAGTAACTGCAAATGAAATACTATGATATAAAGAATAAAGAAGTGTGACAGTGGAAGTAAGGGGATCTCTTCATCCTATTTGAAAAATGAAAAGGTCACGGCAAAGTCTGCTTTTTGGATCAAATTTGAATGTTTTAAAGATTGAAATGTCAGGAAAAACTAAATCAAACCTAAATAAATAAAAAATACTAATACTATTCATTAATGAGTGATTGGCAGCAACATTTACCATCAAGTGCCTGTAATTATTTGTTATGAATCTTCTACCTCGTTTTAGAGGAATTTTGGTCACCTCTACTTTGCAGGGTTTTTTTTTTCATCTCAGACACAATGGAAAGTTTTTAAACAGACAGCCTGTTAAAGGCAATGCTGCAACATCTTAATCAAATTTAAGTCGGAACTTGACTAAGACATTTCATAACCTTCCTTTTGGATTGTTTTTTTTAGCCACTAAGAAGTAGGGGGTGATGCTACAATGTTTTCTTGAAATGTTGAATTATGCAGAGATAAAATACGATGGAAAACTTCCTATAACACAAAGTTATGTGTCGGTCTATATAACATTGTCCTAAAAGTTTAAAGGATCCAAAAAAAACCTGCATGACTCTTTGCTTACCTTTCTATCACCTTCCATAATCCAAGAATGAAAATTGTACCTACAAAACCTTACTTTGCTCACATGTGACTCAGTGTGAGCCTGGTTCTGCTGAAGGTTTCTTCCAGTTAAAAGGAAGGTTTTCCTCTCCACTGTCTCTACAAGCATGCTTAGTGTGACGGATTGCCTTCGAGTCAACGAGTCGATGCAATCAACTGGTTTTCCTTAGATAGAAAACTTTGAATCAATTTAACTGTAAGTGCCTTAAGATAACTGGTGTTTTGGACTGGAGCTATGCAAATAAACTGAATTAGAATATAAAGTACTAGATTTTTACATATAAAAAGACAAGTTAAAGTAGAGATAAAAACCTGCAGTTTATTGGAAATTAAATAAACATTTCCTTAAAACTACAAACCTTAAGCTTCAACCTTTGCCCTTATCTATTAGCGCTGACTGGCCAGCTTAACTTTTCCCTTGACAGCACAGAATAACATTGCATTTTTTATATAGTGCTGATACTAGACGGCCAGAGGGCAGATCATAACCCCTACAGTACGCACACACGTACCCTTGCAGCGCTCGTTCAATGAGGTTACATCCACAAATGTCATTTATCTTGTGCATAGAAACTCTGGTCACTATTGCACTTTTCTGGTGTCAGCACACTGCTTAAAGTTTGATATGCACAGCACATATGAAGCATAAAATATGTTGAACACCTTTTTTTTATGGCAGGTATTTATTCTAAAGACCATGGAAGTATAAAATCAAGCACTACTTTTTGTCTCTGAAGCTGAATAAAAAGGATCAAAGTTTCATGACAGTTGTAAAAAGTTGTATTAAAGGAGCATTTTGCATTTTTTTAGGAGTCAAATTCTTTTGGGAAGGAGAGCAATGGACTCAACATACAGTTCTAAAAATGTTTTTTTATGCTTTTCCATTTCTTCATTCAAATTAAACCACATGTTTAAAGGTATAGTGGAGGATGTTCCTTTTCCAGGTGCATCATCAAAATAAGTTGTCTTCCTACTTGTCAATCATTCTGTTGATATGTTTACCTATATGCTCGTCCTC